CCAGTGGAAGGGGACTGTCCTGGACCAGGTGCCCGTAAATCCTTCTTTGTATCTTATAAAATACGATGGATTTGACTGTGTTTATGGACTAGAACTTAATAAAGATGAAAGAGTTTCTGCACTCGAGGTCCTCCCTGATAGAGTTGCAACATCTCGAATCAGCGATGCACACTTAGCAGACACAATGATCGGTAAAGCGGTGGAACATATGTTCGAGACAGAGGATGGCTCTAAAGATGAATGGAGGGGCATGGTCTTAGCACGGGCACCTGTCATGAACACATGGTTTTACATCACTTATGAGAAAGACCCTGTCTTGTACATGTACCAGCTCTTAGATGACTATAAAGAAGGTGACCTTCGCATCATGCCCGATTCTAATGATTCACCTCCAGCAGAAAGGGAACCAGGAGAAGTTGTGGACAGCCTGGTAGGCAAAGAAGTGGAATATGCCAAAGAAGATGGCTCAAAAAGGACTGGCATGGTCATTCATAAAGTAGAAGCTAAACCATCTGTCTATTTCATCAAGTTTGATGATGATTTCCATATTTATGTCTACGATTTGGTGAAAACATCCCAGATGTCATCGTGAACTTTGCCAAATTTGTGGAACTATTAAATGTATAATTTGTAGACATAAAGACTTGATTGCTTTCCAGTTTAATGAAAGCTTAAATGTCCCTGCGAACCCATAATCTCTGCCAGCAGAACTGATTTTGTTCTGAATAGTACAGATTGATGTGAACACAAAGCATTTTGTGTAAGGAGAACTTCTTTGTCGTACTAGAAGTCTGTCTGTTGGGAGGGGAGTTACAGGCAAGTTTGGTAAAAGTTAAGCTAGTATCATAGTCATTTAAATCTGTAATAGACCTTAATCATTTCCCCCTTCACGTTAATGCTGTCTTATTCTGCCACAATGCAAGCATAGTTTGGTATTTTTGTTACTGCCTTTTTGAGATATATGTATCCATATCTACCTGTCTCTTATCTGCATCTGTGTGTCTGCATATATATGTATGTACACACAGAGATACATGTGCACATACCACACCACTGGCAGTCCTTTCCTCATGGATTGGGATGGGGTGATACATTTTCTCCAGTTCAGCTGTAGTGCTTGACCCAAGTCAGTCATATTTATGATTATTCTTGCTGTTTATTTAAAATTAAATTGGGGCACAGGAAGCACATAAGGATGTTAAAAATTAGGCATTCAGAGCACACCTGCTCTAATCTGGAGGCTTTAAACTGTAAGTCCAAATATGACTTATAAGCAGTTAATGGCCCGTTTTTGGTAGGCTAGTGAGAAATCTGGGTAAAAGGCTGCTTTTAATTGTAAGCTTTGTAAGATGTTTTGTTTACACTTTAATTTTGAACAGTTTTTAGCTCAGTTTGGGTCCTTTGTTCACTTGGTATAGCATAGGTGTGTCTTGGATGGCACATTTGATCCATTGCTTGTATGAATCGGTAATCGATTTTAGTTCACAAATTTTAAAAGGCAACAGTACATGAAAAGCTTGTGTGTATGTGGTGAGTTCCTGGAAGAACAGTGCTTTTGTATTTGAAATGTAAGTTTAAGAATGGCATTGTTGCCTTCTAATATATTCTCTGGGACTATTTTTTTGTTTGTTTTTTTGTTTCTGTTATTACTGGTGTATGATTATGGTCAGAAGGCCTTCCTATCCCTTTCCCCCAGCTTTGCCTCACAAAATACCTCTGGCCATATAACAGCTGATCTCTTCACACATTTTGTGGTGGTATAGGATATGTTCTTACCCCAGGTATGCTGTTTATGTGGGTTCATTTCCTTTAGTGGTCCCTGGGGGCTTTGCGTGTCAGTAATGTGTTGTCATAGAAGGCCTAGCCATCCCTATTGGCTTGTGGATATAATAGCAACCCATCACCACAGAGTCTTTTCACGGGTTAATACTGTAAGGTTGTTCAAAAACTGAAACAAACCACAAGTTGGTTTGACAGCCAGGAGAAAGATGGCATGTGAAACCAGTGGCTTGT